ACCCACAGCCACATGAGTTCGGGAAGCTCCGATGCGCACTGCCGCAATTCTCCGTTTCTGCCACAACACAGCGTCAGTGTCAACTCCTGTAGTTGAGCAACATGTGTCCGGCTAGCAACTGGGAAAATCGGAAGAGGAATCGGTTCTCTCCACAGGACAGTGTTAGGGGATAACAAAACAAGCGAACAATATTGACGGTCTTCAGCCGCCAAGTTCGCACGACACGATTCGGATCAGTGAGTTCTCCCTTCCTCCCCATCGCCGGCCCCGGCCTGCGAAAAATGTACATGTCCAGCACCAAACCGTCCTCAGCAACTCGCGGCTGCTTCGTTCGCACCTCATACGCCCCCACCCCCTCCCTGAGTCCGTGTCCTTCAGTCCCGGCCGCTGGACCTGGCGACCGCAAAACTTCACCATCGCCACTTTTGGAGGATCCACAAAGGGAAATGGAGGAAACCCCTCGAAGGTGCTTGGAAGAGGCCGCGAAAATGGCAACGTGTCCACCACTCCGCATTCAAGCCTGTGATATGGGACGCTTTGATTGGACAACCTCATACCACTGGAGTCTGGTGTTCTGCACTGTTAGAGCTTGGAATCCACTTCAAAGGGCAATGCTCAAAGCAACAGTACAGCACATCAACCAGCAGCTTCAACTATCTGACAACACGATCCACTTGAACTCCTACGAACCGGCATGGTTTAGCGGTCCAAATCTACAAAATCAAAAGGTGGGCCTAGGCCTCATGTCGAAAGGACAAGATGGGTGTAGTGGACACATGCTTCCTGATCGAGGCCTGTCAAAGACTGTCATCTTGTTTGAAGGCCAGCTTTCTGGGTGTGTCTTTCTTGTTTTTGTTTACCCCTTTCTTGGTTTTAACGGGAATCCGGGAGGAAACCGGGAGACCATTTCGGGGAGTCCCTAAACAAAAATGACCACATCCTTCCAGAGCTTCGAGCCGGCCGAGCCCCGGCGCCTTGACCGCCACCTCCTCGCCATTGCTCCGCAGCCTGCCACGGTAGACCTGCAACACCGAAAAATTTCCACCGACACCGCGCACCCCTTTTTTCAGCAGCCACAAGATGCTAGGCTGGAATTAGGACCCCGGCAAAAAAAAAAATGTTTTGCCTAGCCACAAGATGGAGGACAAAAACAACACAAAAGTCCTCTGAACCTCAAGCTGAGGTGAAGATCGGTTCATGCCGCACCCACACCCCCTACCTGCCCGAGGGAGGCCGCAGCCACCGGCTCGGCGCTCAGCTCCGAGAAGATGTCTTTGGGGTCCTCGCGTCGATGAGCCAAAAAACGCAAACCAGGGCCCGGTGTATCCACAGGGGGGTGTACCTGGGTGTGAGAAATCATCACTTTTGGAACTCACCGTCACACCGGGCTTGGCAAAGCGTCCCTTTGAGTTGGTACATTATTTTGCCTGGGAAGCCAAAGGCAGAAAAACAAATCGCAGGAGGTACTAGTCGTCAAGTATCAATGGGGGGGTGTCCCTTTTTTCGGGAGCTGGTACCCCTTTGGGGTTGGCTAGCCGAAATCCGTTTTGGGGGATTTTAAGACACGACCATCTTGCAGTTCACCGGAACCTCCGAGATAAGAACTGTTACGTATGAGAATTGCACTATCATCTTAGAAATGTGGTTCTAGGCACTTCGCCGACTACTGCACCTCACCGTCACCCAAACTTCTTGAATGGTCTCTCCCAAGTCAAGCTGCTCTAGGACTCTGCACCTGGAAACAAAACACTGGTTGCAAGGATCCAACCAACCAACCGAACGACCGACCGACCGACCGACCCACCAACCCACCAAAACCAACCGACCAACCCACCCACCAATCAACCAACCAACCAACTAAACCAGCCAACCAAACCAACCCGCCAACGAAACCAACCCGCCAACCGTCTCGCTTGCCGCACAATGGACGTAGCTGGATCCAGCCCAAAGGAGTCGCCTTTTTCGTCGCGTCCTGGCCCAGCTCGGAGCGAATGATGGACATGGCTTCCGGGGAGGGAAATGGAGGCACCTTGTCCTGGCAATCGGCTGCTTCGCTCAAAAAAAAACGGTGCCAAAATGGGTTGCCCTGGTAAGTGGAAACATGGACCAAAGCCTGCGGTTTGCCCCTCCTGTTTAACTTTGAGCCACACCCAATTGAAGCGATCAAAAGCGCCATGCTGCGGATGGACGAAATCCTTTTAGGCACCACCGTTCAGAAAAGCTGGCAGTTGATTCGATTCCCCGACATAAACACCAACAAAAGTTCTGGCTTCAACCATGGGCTCAAAGTGGTGCGAACGGTTTTTTTCCATCCACAACAGGCCCTTCCGGAGCAGGAATTATGGGCCAAAAACACACAAAAAAAAAGAGACACTGGAGCATTACAGAAGTTGGACCAAGGAAACATTTCTAGGGGTCTTCTTGATGTCCATGAACGTGGCTTTCTAGATGCCATCAAATAGGTCCTCATTTGGATTGGGCCCCTAGCCTTCGGGAAAGACATTCAGAGTGCTCTCGGGTGCAACAGTCGCTTCGCAAAATCTACCGCGCCTGAAGCATTTCAAGCTCGGCCTTAGAAAGATTGCAAGTCTGCAAGCCGCTAGCCTTCGGCAACAATGGGACCCTGTTGGCTTCTCGCATTCGCTCGAAAAGCAGCACGCCGAGGGCAAAGCCATGTAGTCATCTCGAACAATATCTGGACGATTGGCCAGAGCCTGCCCGGCTCGGAGGTCTTCGCTCAGAAGCCACGACTGCTCAGGTCCCTTTTTCGCGCTCGCAGCGAGGCTCAGCCCTGCACGTTGACAACATCAGCGAGCGGTCAAACCCGGTGCAACTCACAGAAGCTGACCACTGTTGCGGATCAATTCTTTTTCTGGCCGCCAGAAATGGCTTTGATCTCAAAATCACCCAGAAAAATGGGTTGCTCTCCTTGGGTTCCCTTTAAAACCAACCCCACAAAAAAGTGCTCCCAAAAAAAAGTACTCCCAAAAACACACACACACACACACACACATCAGATGCAACTCATATGCCTCAGGTGCCTCACCCATGAGGAACGCTCCGCCCGAAGCCGTTCCGAACATCCCGCCTGGCCCAACTTCACATAGACAGGCCCCAACTCCAGCAACAGCTCCCGCAGTTCCCGAGACCTCAATGCGCTTCATGGGGAAAAAAAGGTCCAAGGCAGCCATGGCTCAAGGAATGAATTTCCCCGAAGAAACTTATGCAGGGGAGAAAAAAAAAGTTGGCATGCACAACCAGAGCTACTAAAAGTACCCTGGTTTGTTCTTCTGCATGTGTTGCCACCGTTCAGGCGAAAAGGCTGCGACTCTGCCTGTGTGGGTCTAGCCTCGAGATAAGTTGCTATTTGCCACCAAGGACAATGTTGTTCTCGCATCTCAGAAACAAGCCTTCTTGAGTCGGCTCCTGTCCCCTTTTTGTTGCTTCCGAGAAAGACGCCCCTGCCTCTGGGTCACCGCTTCCTTGTCGCGCCCCAAAGCGTCGTCGAGCCTATCATGAGAGCACCCATGCCTTAGACCTAATGCGCTTGGTTTCGAGAGATGCGATCGCTCCCTGAGACATGGAATCACTTTGAAGTAAACCATCCCTTGGTGGTGTCCTTCAACCAGGCTGGTCTATCTTTTCGTGGTTTAGTGGCAACTACTGCTGAACCCCGAAAAGCGTTAAACAAAAAAAAAAGCTCGGGAGATGGCTGGGAACCACCAAGTTCAGGATTCGAATCCGAAAAAAACCGGTGCATTCCCAACGGGCTCATGGTCGACCCCCCCGATTGAGCACCAGGAATAAGACGAAACTCCAAGATCAGATCCCCATCCAAAAGGTCTTTCAAGGATTGCCATGGATCTGACTCTGAAAGGTGTCTGCTCCTCGCGCACAAATGCATGGTTTGGGCCTGATGTTCCTGTTAACCTGCATGTGGTCAAATGCCTCACTCACAAGGACACGTCCTTCCAATCACCATCTGTTTGAGATGTTATCAAACAGAGAAACACAGCTCCAGCGTATGGCAGTCACGCGAACGACCTTTCACGCTGTCTTGCGCCAATCGGCATGGTCTTCACACCCTTCCGTGGTGTTCGTGGTCTCCTTGTTGTGTGACCAAGACAAACATGCCACTGAAAACTGTGTATATTTGTGTCACGTCCCATATGGCTGTGGGTCAAAAATATGTACCCAAAATGGAACCCTAGTAAATGGAAACATGGACTAAAACCTGCGGTTCCCTGGTGGTTTAATTTTGACCCATACCCATATCTGCATTTGCCTTGCGGTAGTAGACTTGTTGAGTCAGTGCCGTCTCCATACAATCAATCTTCCTTCATCGCCGGAACGTCAGCTTGGCCGGCGTGGGCAGTTGGTTATATGCAGGGACTGTTCAAATTGCAAAGGAATTTCGTTGAATAAACTGCATCATGTTCCTGTATCTTCGTCGCAATCTCCTAAGACTGACATTGGTTCATGGTTTGCACAGTACGTCTATTGGGATTCGCACCACGTCGGTTTTTTGCGCGCATGCATCAGTAGAACAAACGCGAGTGGGCGTAGCTATCATCCCTGCCTGATGCCCAAGGCATTTCTCCTATTCAAGTACGGACAAGTATGGTAAAGTGACGCACTAAGTTTGCTCACGAAATCCCCAATGATTTCTCCAATGCCCTGCGGAAGAGAAATCTGTTCGGAATGCAATTTGCTCAAATCTGGAAGGTGTGATCCAGGAAAATCCATATGGGTCAAAATTAAACGGCCAGGGGACCACAGGTTTTAGTCATTGGTTCTATTTACCAGGGTTCCGGTTGGGGTACCTGGTATTGACCACCGCAGCCTCAAGCAAACCCGAGGGAGTTTCTGAAATCAGCTTGCTGCCCAAGGAGCTTCAGCGACAGGTAGTAGCGGCCCAGGCGAGAGACAACCTGCCGAACACCCCCGTGCCGGTTCTGCATGTAAAAGCTCTGGCAAACTTGGCGAATTAGAAAGCCTCCATGGGTCACAAACCCGCACTAAAATAGACTAAAATAGGTGGTGCACCTACCCCAAAATGGTACCATTGGTTTTGAACAAAAGAGAATGCACCCTTAGCCTTGGGCCGGCAGCACATCCAGTACCAAGAAGGAATGTCAAGATGCATACACCTAGAACTCAACTGACACGAGAACCCTTTCTTGTCGTCGTCCCTCTATTTGGTGGTTTGGAGTTCGGTGCTTTGGTGGTTCGGGCATGGTTTCCCATTTACCCTCTACAAGAACCAGGGGATAAAATCCAATGCAGACCACCCACCCAAACCACAAACAAGGGGTTAGCTGAGTTGTTGAATCCAACTCGGAAAAACAAAGATGCCCTCACCACCCCTTCCCCCCCCCCCGCCTGCACCCCGCGCCAGAAAATCGCAGCGGGGTTCTGCAAGGCAAGAGCCTCCACCTACGGCGCGAGGCTCCCATCTGTGGCGTCAGCGCTATGTGCTGATGCCAAGACATGCCATGCCAAGACCTCATTGCAAGCGGCCAAATCCAAGCCCCAAGTGTTGGTAACATGAGCAATCAGAACAGGTGTAAGCCATACCCGGATCAACACTGTCCTCTTATCCTGCCGCCGACGAAAGCTTCCAGTTTCATGCATCTTCGCTTCCGGCTTCAGGATCAACTTCTAGCCCAGGCAAGATTTCCTAGAACGAGCCTCTTCCTATTCAAGCCAATTCTCAGCCGAGATCAAGACAAAACGCATGTTTTTCCTTCAAAGCACAACAGGTGTTTTTTTTCAATGCTGTTGTCTGTTTGACATACTGCCTCGCTAAAAGGTTCTCGCTTTGTAACAATGGTGTCTCACTGGGGCGGTTTTTGGGCACGAGCAACTGAGAGGAGCTTTCACCAAAAAAAGCAAACCGGGCCAAACAGAGGTTTTCAATCACCAAGAAGCTGAACTTTGCCCCCACATCGAACCGCACCTGCGCAGCATCGTAGACCTGCATGTCGGCTGCCGCCCATCGCCTCGCGAATCCCGAATCGAATGCGCTGTCAAGCGGCCCAGTTGTAGTTCACACCTCCCTCCGCCAGCGAATATGTTATGTATATATATATATATACATACATGTATATGGGTGTGTGTGTGTGTGCCACTCGCAAAGGATACCCCCAGCCAACCAAAGTCGCCGAAAGCAAGCCACTCCGACGTGCCAACAGCCCCCGCCTCCCACGACGCCGAGCCCGGCTTCGCCGAGTCTTTACAAGGGCGGCGCATGTGGCACCTTGGGTTCGCAGAAACGGGTGGCTCGTCTTTTTTCGATGGCTTTAAAGGCAAGCCACAGGGAACCTCACCATTTTGGGGGTCCCCTAAAAAAAGGACACACCCCAATACTCAGGAGCTGGCACCCGTTTCTGGGTGGGAAACAAAAAAGCGGCGCCGCATTTTTCAGCCCAAGCGAGCAACTCCGATGCTTCATGTGTGGCGCTGCTCGAATCTGTTTCTCAGCCCCGCCTAGAAGACAACGAGCATGGAGAGGCACCTTGCGATCGGAAAGCGCATGCCACTCGCCCTTGTTCACACCCTTGCTGGAGGCGAATGTACTCACACAAACATACTAGGTGTAAACTTGTAAACCTGTGAGCAACATATCATATGGCTGTGTCTTTGTTCAGACCAACCCGAAACTTTGTTTCTTTTCATTTCAATCAAATTACCGAAAAGGTTCCTTCAAACAAACAAAAGGACATGCCCATATTTCACTTGTCGCATGTCGCAGCTGGGGTCCGGGCAGACCTCTGACTCTGGCCAATCCGCGGAACCTGACTTTGAGTCTCGGCTGTCTCGGCATCTGTGAATTCAGTATGTGTTTCTTTTTCTGCAAACTGTGGACCAATTCCTCCAGATAGGAGGTGTCGATGAATTTACCTTTAAAACTCATCCAAGGGGCCTATTTTCGAGCAACCTCCCGTTGTGGGTCAAAATCGGTCGAAATGGCAAGCACTTGCTTTTGCCTGGCAAATGCTTGCAGGATTAAAACCTGCGGTCCATTGCAGGGGTGTGATGTTGATCTACGGACTTGGGGTCTCCAATCGGTACTTTGCCACGCAAGTGGCAACCACAAGCCCCTGGGGTTGTTTTCGTTTTGGGGGGGGTGTTTTAAGCCGCCCGAATCGAAGGGTCCAACTGTGGACCGTTTGGTTTCGTTCAATGGAAAAGCCAGCTGTGAAACCAAAAGGTCGTGTTGGGGCGATTGCACCAAAGACCCGCCATGTCTTGCGAGTGTCTTTTACTCCACAGAACGCTTCTGGAGGTCTGAGCTGACTAACAGTTCACCGGTCCTTCGCCTCATGCCTGCTTTTGCGGCGCCCAAGATGTGAAGGACGGCTCCATGTTTCTAAGGATACCTTACCCATTCTAAACCCAGGGATCCGAATCTTTCCGGAAAACCTCCGGAAACCCAGTTGAAAAACGGATCCGTTTTTTGGATCCGTTTTTTGGAAAGAACGATGGTTGAAAAGAATCGGGAAAAGGAATCAACCCTTAGAGACTTTGAGAAGACAAAGTCCACGGGACCTAGAATGTAGTCACCAAACACCAGGCCAGCTGTCAGAATGGAATGTTAAGGCTATAGAAACCCCTAGAGTGCTTCGCAATGTCCCTTACTTACCTTTACGACAACCCCAATGGAAAGAGGCAGAATCATGGGGCAGAATCAGCCTATGGCATGTTCGAGCCCCGGCTTCTCTTGCAGACTTCCGCCTTCACGTTCGACGCGGCGCTCGGGCTCCGGAGCCTGGGCGCAGAGACGGAAAAGGACGGGGGCGACACACAAAGCAACGTGGACCTAAAAACCTCCAAAAAAAAAATGTAGTTGATCCGCCGCTTTGAAGATCAGCCTTGTTTCCGCAAGCAGACAAAGCTGGTGCGACACAAATGGGAGCTGAGAGGCGTGTCCACGCGAAGTGATCTCCAGCTTGCAACGGACGCCATTGCGAGAAAGCCTTGTCCACTAGATTCGGCGAGTTGCCACGCAGAGTTGCCACGCAGAGTTGCCACGCAGAGTTGCCATGCAGAGTTGCCATGCAGAGTTGCCATGCAGAGTTGCTGTTTTGTGGCAAGAAAGATCAAATCGAGAAATCCAGTCTCATGCCTGCAACAACTAAGTAACCAACCCATCCCAGCACACGTAACATAGCTTGAGCAAGCCATGCACCGAACAACCGTAAGGATCAAACAACGCAAAAACGTCAACCTGAAAGTCTAGTAGAGCGCTCCCAAAGCACTGAAATTCCAAATGTCTAAGCATACCGTCTGAAAAAAAGATTTTGCAACGATGACAGAACGAATTGCTGCTGCCTGTGCAGGTTGTTGTTTGATTGATTTTTCTTACTGTTGTTATGTTGTCTGTTTCTGCAAGTTCATCGTCATCATCGTCTCTTCATTTTCACTTTCTTGGTCCCATGATCTTTTGAGAAAACTCGAAAAAACAAAAAAATGATTCATCACAGGAACGACCGCGCTTATGTTCGCTCAAATCGGTACAAAATAGTTTTAGGCGCTGTGCGGCCACGGACCACTGATTTGTGATGAGCCACTGCACGCAGGCAGGCTGTCAGAACAAAATGCGCAGTTGTGTTGCGCGCGCACACACACACACCTACACACACACACCTACACACACGCGCGCCAAGCAAAACAGGATTTATTTCTAATTTGGTTCCTGTCCCTAAAACTGGCATTGTGTTGCTCCCAATTATGACGCCAAGCACCTGCTGAAGAAGTGATTAGATGGAATTGAATCAACACGTGTTCCAGCAACCCAACTTAGCAGAAAATGATGCAATCTGTTTTCAGCACCGCTCACCTGACATGAATGCGTTGAACAGCTTCCTCGACAGTCTGAGGGAGACGGAGCGCTTTTCAGGAAGATCGGGTAGTACGAACCAAGGACCGCCAAGCTTCGTTGAAAACGAGTGGGCGAGCGTTATTAGCCAAGCACATTGTTGCAAAGGTTCATCAACCATGCCAAAGTCAGCACATCCAGAATTCACGCACTCCTGCAATCGTGTGCTAATGTGATGCTTTGGTTGTGAGGAATGCGTTTGCGAGTTACATTGGTTACACTTGCCAGCAATCGGCGAAGCATTATTGAAAGCGTGCGGAAGACTAGGCTCATCAAACATGCTTGTCACACGGGCAGGAAGGCAGGAGCCTCTCTCTTGGACCAGCACTTGCGAGGGCTAATAATGCCAAACGCGTTGCAAGTTTTGCTGAAATTAAATGACTTTCAACAAAAACAAAACTAGACATCAACCTCTATTCAATCTGTATTTCCCTTGATTTAGAAGCTCGCGCCAAAGAACCAAGCGACACAATCAAACAACACATCACAGAACCCAAACGATCCCAGAGTATATATATATATATATGTGCCGCGAAAAGGATTCATATCCAATGTATCCAAGTGCCAAAAGCATGGAAGACGCTTGACTTCACTTCTTGACATCATCTCGGCATGTCATATCATTCAATGAACGTCACTCTTTTGATATGGGGGGCGCGTGCGCCGCTGGCGCGCTCGGGCGGGTGTGACGGCGCCTCTCGGCGAAGCCGGCAGGTTCCCACTGATCCGTTTGGATCCCGTCCTGGTGAGTTGCGAGGAGGTACACAGCTCGCCTGAGCCGATCGTCATTGCCGGCTTCCTCGAGCCTCGAGCCTTTTTGTTTGGTTGGGACTACGGCGGTGCCAAGTCAGACGCAGTTGCAGCCTTCGGAATGGAGTTTGATCTCAGTCTCAGAGATGTCCTGCTTGGCCCTTAGGCGCGCATCACAAAGCGTGTAATAGAGCTGCGAGGGGTATTAAAAATGAGCTTCTCCGCAAGGGCTAGAAAATCAATTAAGGTTGGAGGTAATGCAATTGATCCATGAATGGAGCCACCTGCAACCCTTTGATCCGTCCTTTACTGGAAAAGAAGCTGCTGGGGGACTCTTTGGACCTACTGCAGGAAACTCACACAATATTTTTAAAAACCCTCAGTTTAGCATGCGGCTCGATTCCGATCAAGGCCTGACACTATGAAGCCGGCCCTTGCGCTGCGGCAGGTTCAGCTGGCAAGTAACATGCGCAGACTTGTTCACCATGCGAGTGCTGACACCTTATACATCTTCATTGATGCCTTCGTCTGTGCCACTTGATAGGGGAACTTGAGGCTCTTGCAGTGGTTATGGCGTAGCGTGCATGGCATGCTCGGCTTGTGGCCAGACATGTCGTCTTCTTCATTGAGAATGAAGGAGCAAGCAAGATGCTCGATCAAAGGCTACTCGAGGAGTAACACGATTTGCAGGATGGCGAAAACAATGGCCCGACGGGAGGAATGGTGCCCTTTCGCGGTACGCACAAGTACCCTTATTTGGGAACGTGGCTGATGCTTCGCGGAAAGTGGCGGATCCCATTTTGGCCGATGCCAGTCGAGTTGAAGTCGACAAGAATCTGGCCATAAGGCAGCTGTAGAAGAGAGCGCGTTGAAAGGGGGTCATTGGTATATGGCCATGGGTCAAAAGCCCGTACCCCCAGTGAACATCCCAATCCAACCACTAAAATAGGTTCTAACATGGGTGGTGAATTCACCTACCCCAAAATGGAATCCCATTGATTTTGACCAGCCATATGAGTGGAGCTGAGGAAGACGCGGAAAGAAAAGCCCGCGGGGCGACGCGCTCACGCGCCCGGCGCCACGCATTGCAAAGAGGTTGTGGAGCCCGACTCCCGGCCGAATGATGCCGCTACGCGGAGAGTCTTTCGACCTCCGCAGTGCCGCAGTGCCCAGCAGCTGTGTCTCAGATCCTTTCGGCGGTCCAAGGCATGCACGGCACAAGAGCCCACACACGGCACAAGTTGGTGGGATGTTCCACTTCTGACAAAAGGCGCCCAGCCCCCCCCGAGCACGCCGTTGCTTGTTGCACCTCTTTAGTTCGGGTCCTCTTTGAAGTCCTCGTCGTGATCCGGCAAGTCCTCATCAGGGCGGAGTCCCACGGCTAACAGCCTGTGAGTTTGGCGCGAGCCTTGCGGGCAAGTGGAACCAGGGGTAAACAAGCCACAAAAGAAAGACCCCAAGTCACCAATCCAGCACCTCCGAAAGACCCCAAACCAGCAAGTGGGGAACCAGCAACGCAACCACTGGTTGCAACCAGAAAAGTGAAAGGGAGACCCACGGCCTCCGAGCTGCACGACCAATCCGCCCCGCCCCACGCTGACGCAGAGGCCACCGCTCGGTCGCCCCTTCGCTCCCTCCCAGGATCCCAGACGCTTGCAACACGCGAAGCCAACAGTGAAACTCTTCGGGCAATTACTTCACTCTCCCATCTCTTGCCCAGAAACTCGGATACTCTATGGCGGAAATCGCCCGCGAGCTTTTCGAATATGACTTCACTATCCTGAAAACACAAGGCGTTTCGGCACGTTGCCAGCATGTTTCACGAGATGTCAAAGAGAAGTCGCTGTCACCTGCCATCACCTTCCGAATGATTTGTATTTGACCGCATCTTCACTTATTCCAAATCCATGTTCATTCATCGGCAGCTTTGCCAGCGACCTCCGCTTTCCGAAAGGTGTAGTCACGCTCGACGCGGCAGATGCGGGTGGCGTAACTGCTGTACCAGTCGCGCTTGCCCTTCTCTTGTGCCACCAGGTGCTTCACATTGGCCTGGCGGCAAAGCCACAACTCTGCGGACCTGGCTACCATGCACTCTGGTGCTTGTTTTTGCACGCCAAATGGTCTTTTAAGCACACGGGCTGAATCCAGACTATTTGGCAACAAATGATTGCAAATTTCAGCTTCCATGGCGCTGTTGAAAAAAGGCAACGAAAAGGATATTTGTCCAAAAGAGAGATCTGCAATGAATGTCTTCCGTTTCGTGTAGTTGCTGTGTGTTGCTCGGCTAAAATCATGGTAGGCGATACGCCGGCTGCTTCCAGGGGTATAGCACAAAGTATGCATAAACCTGATTGAACATGCATAAGCTGTATCAAACTCTGGCTTGTGGCATTGGTTTCACCACATCCTTCCAAAAACATAATACACGTGTGTTTGTGTGTATATAAACATATATATATATACATGTGTATATGCATATATATATATATAATATGTGCGTGTACGTACAATGAAAGAGCCAGGGCTGCCTTGCGCTCAAAAGGCCCACAGCAAAGCGATGTCCTATGTCTCAGATTGACATCAAGAGCCCTTGTTCCTTGTGGCCATAGCTTGTGGCAGCCTTCCCTTGCATACCATCCACAGACGACATGAGTAGTTTTTTAATCACCCGAAAGTCATGGTCGATTGTTGGTTTTGACCCAGAGTTCAGCTCTATCTCCAGAGCTACCACTCGTCCAAGCAAAGCTTGGTGACGCGAAATCTGCGAGCGCCTGGTGACGAACTTTTAGTGGTTTAATACGGAACAAGTCATTAAAGTCCTAACATCCTAGCAAAATGCACCAAAGAAAGCTTCAACCACGGCAAGCCCCGGCTCACAACTTCCTCTCCGAAACTCGGCGCGACATCTCCGACCGATCGGGTTCTATCAGTGTCGAGCCGGATCAATCCATTCACTGGATGACGAATCATCCCAATCAGGATCGGTGATATCATGTGAGAACCACCAGCCATCGATTTGTGCAAGTCTCCAAGCCACACCTCAACATACCTCAACATACAACCTCAGTCCACCCTTCACTCCAAAAGTGTCCCACAAGTGTCCCACAAGTGTCCCACGATATCCTGCCTTCCATGCAGCAATGGCTTCCTCGGAAGCCCAGTAGCTCACCTAAGCTCGTCGGCTAGGTCTGGGCCCTGAACCCCGGCAACTCCACCATGACCGTAGAGACGATGGTCACATGGCGATTTGCCACTGGTTCACCGGAAATGATACATATCCGCCTGGAGCCAACTGGAAGCTAGGAATGGCCATGGGTCAAAAGCCAAATCGGTTGCCCCCCAGTGAACATCAACCAATCCAACCACTAAAATAGCTTCTATTACGGGTGGTGAATTCACCAATCCCCCAAAATGGAATCCCAAAACGGTTTTGACAACCACAGCCATATCATGAGACATCCATGAAACATCACCATCGAAGGTTCAACCGCTCATGTGATTCACTGCGATGAATTGACCTGCAGGCGGTCATACTCCTGAGGAGAATGTTTGGCAGCTGGCTTTCCAAAACCGGTTCGTGGAGGCAACATGCAAATGACTCAAATGACCATATCCCATGAGCAAATGGATTTATAAACTGGTTCTTGCCATGGAAATCATGGTAAGTCTTGATGTCTATGAAAATTTCAGGTAAATGTGCCTTGTGCCTGGAGCAGTTGGTGAACTTTCTGTCTGGTTAGCCTGGAGGTTTTTGCGGGGTGACAGGCCTCAGTGAATGCCGGAGAACATTTATCATCGTATAGGGGTAACCATTGGTAGCCGCATAATGTTAACCCCGGATTAATAAACCCCTGGTTGATTAATAGGGCGTCCCCACTCAAAGTGGACGGGTTTATTGATCTGGGCCAACATTAGTCCAGACACCATGTCACAACTGTCCTGGTATCCACAAAAACTTTCAAGGAATCGGGCTGCCTGAGTTGGAACATCTCTTTATCACCTGCAAACCCACATCCAAAAAACGAGTTGAGGCATCTGAGGATTCAGCAATCCTCAAAGAACAAACGACCAACGAAGCCATGTAATCCATCTCAAACCCCACCCCCCACCCCCCACAAAAAACAAAAAAAAAACGTCCCATGATCCCGGCCATTTGAAACGTCTTCCGAAACGTCGCAAAAGTCGTCGTCGTCCAAGTGGCTGTGATGCCCAAGGATTCTCCTTGGTTGCTGTTCCCCCCCCTGCAAAAAGTGAACAACTTTCTGCGGGTTTAGTGGACAACACCTTTATTTCAACCAAAAAGTTAAAAGTCTAAAGATCCAACCCAATAGCGGTCGAGTCTCGGGCACTTTCCACCCCCAGGAAGCCGGGCTGCCGCCTGGCCAACTGCAGCATCTGCTGCGCCGTTGCCTCGTAGCCCTGTCGCGCAGGAGTCGATGGAGCAGATGGGTATGGGTCAAAATTCAACCACCAGGAATTGGACTGCAGGCTTCGGTCCATGTTTCCACTTACTAGGGTTCCATTTGGGGTACCTATTTTTCACCCACAGCCACATCTTTCAACGTGGACCACAAAAAACAGAGGACGAACCGCTTTGAATCAATATGGCTCTGGTTCAAAAATAGGTACCCGTTTTGGGAATCCTGGTAAATACAAATTAAACTGGAATTAGGACCCCAGCAAAAAAAAGCATCTGTTTTGCCTGGTTGGTGGAAAATAATTGCCTGGTTGGTGGAAAATAAAGGGACCCCCAAAAAGCAAAAACATAAAAAGGGGAGCTAATTCTGGGGAAAAGTTTCAGCAGTCGCCTCGGAAGTCGAAGTCCGCTCGCTTGTGAAGATCACGGCAAAATAGGGCGGTTCGGGCGTCTGAGCATAGCCACAGACCCGCTGGTTGCGCGGCGCTTTCCAACACAGCCGTCGCCACATGGCAGTATCAAGGACCTTTCTCCGCCAGGATGAAAGTAAAACCCGGGTGGATTCATTGAAGATCAATCCAAAACACAAAAGGATTGCACCAGCATAGACCCCAAATAGCATAAAGTAGGCGAGGATTGCGCACTGCTTGTTTGTGGCCAGATCATATCGAATTCAGCGACTTCTGGATGTACTTGAGAGAGCAAAAGCCTTAAGTGTTGTTCCTTTAATTTGTGTGGGCAGCACGGGTGCTTAAAGTGTTCAGTGTTCAAGCAGGAAAGTTGAAAAGGGGCAGGATTTGATTGAGCAGCACCCCAAGGCAGCACCTGCATCACCGCCCCCATGCCGCCGCCATCTCAGAAACACATGCGCCCACACTGTCAGCACCAGCACCCAGCATGCCCATAGCACCCAGCCGCCATCTCGCAAAAATGCGCCCACACCGTCACCAGCACCTCAAACAGCACCTGCACCAGCACCCCAAACCCCCCAACACCAACCGTCAGTCTCGCAAAAAACGCACCCCCACTAGCACCTCAAACGACACCTGCGCCAGCACCGCAAACTGCATGCCCCCCAGCGCCAGCCGTCAATCACGGACCACCTCAAACCAGCACCCAAGCAGCACCACCAACTGCACACCCTGCCGTCAATCTCGCAAATTACCTTGCCTCTTCATCAGAAGTTAGAACCCCTATAGCTTTCAGCTATCTGGGGAAAGACCTTCCAAATAGATCCAGCTGGTGCTAATCCGCTAACGGTCCCCTTATGTTGGATTGATGTTATACCACTTAAATATATGTGTATATATATATATATATATTTTAATATATTCCATGCTGATGTGGGATGGTAATCAAGAAAGGTGTCAGCAAATCACAAGACCAAGCGTGCATGAGTTCAGTTTGAGCCAGGCCTGAAGGAGGCTTCATGTCCCGTGTGCTCCAACCCCTTGCGATCTCATCGTTCTCGATCATTCCACTCCTCAAAAATGATGGTGGGTAGATGTTGATATGGAGAACACACCATTGCGCAACCATGCCAAAACACTCAGATCGGCAGACACAAAATAGTGGACCTGGCATTGTCCGTGAAAGCTTCTCTGCACAAGTTCTCTGTGCAATTGTCTATGTGCAGTTCTGTCTGATACTGTCGGCAAGTTTCTGCACAAGGCAATCTCACTGTGCCAGTGCTGCAGGAAACTATTGTCGTTTTCCAGACAAAAGCGGACACCCTCCCCCTTTTCTATAGTAGTCTTTGTGCATTTTCTCTTTTGTAAAACATCACTGCCCAAGAGTCCAACCAGCTTTTCAGTTCAGCGCACTCAAAGCCTGGCTTTGCCAGGCAGGCTTCGAGCTGGAATACGTGATCCCAGTGTGAAACAGGGAATCCCTACTGGTTGGTTGTTTGGATGATATTCAGGGACCTTTCCCTCCAAGCCCTTCATATGAGTTCATCGCCCAGAAAAATTCTGGTTGCATTGGCGAAAGCCTATTTGAGAAGAAGTCCTTCTCTTGCATACGCACACATTCCACGAGGTCTCAGGCCATGTTGTTCGTGTCGTTCTCATTCGACGTATTCACCGCCACCGCAGTGCCAACCACCTGGGCCTGGATTACTGGCGCCGCGGCAGCTGGGGCTGGAGTCTTCATCATCAGAAACTTCCAGATGCCTGGCTGTGGTTGTCAAAACCCAGGAAACTGGTCAAAATAGGTGGCAAATGGAAAGGTTCATCCACCCCAAAATGGGATCGCCATAGGTTATGCCCCATGGCCGCCTTGGTACATTGGTCCTGGCTAAAAACTCCAATACCATTTGGGGTTATGAACCCCTCACGGCTCTACAAGTCTATGGCTGGCAGCTGCCAAGATGCCCAAGGGAAATGCAAGAAACAAGAGCAACACCCCAAGCAGCTGCACAATTTCGAGGAACTGCCACAAACCAGAATCATACCAAACGTCTGCATCATAGTCGTAGAACTCAGGAACTTCGGCAGTTTCGATGGAGTACCACAAGCCGATCGGATACAGGCACAAATACATCCCCACGTAGAAGGGCACATCTAGGAGATGAAATCGCGTGCAGGGGCAGGGGCATTGCACGTCCTTCATGGTACAACAGCACGGCGCGCAGCAGCGTGAGATCAAAGCCACCCACCACAGAAGGACCGCCGGAATGCCCGTGTAGTACGCAGCGAAGGTGGTCCCCTTATAGAACTCGAAGTTCGATTCGCCCGTAGTATCATGATTGAGGAGGACGATGGAGATCAGATTGAGGCCACAAAGGAGGCCCAGCAACACTGAACTAAGAGCCAACAGGATCTGAAGGCCTCGGTTTGAACCGATGAAGTTGCAAATCCCCTCGCAGCACATGCCGGAAAGTAAACAGCAGTGGCACTGCTAAAATCAGGAGGTCAATCCCTTGGCCTTTCGAGCCACGAAAGCATCGGCTGGCAAGCCAAAAAGTCCAGCTGCTTACGCCGGAGGGAGAGCCTCTTGTCTTGCACGCCAGAACGGCCCTGTCAGAACCGCCCCTGCCAGCCAAGGAGAGTTCATGTTTCCAGCCATCCAAAACATTCACCGTGACATGAGGGAATTAAGAAGAAATGAGGGAAATACTTAAGGACCTTCGTCATGTCCAGAAAAGTCTTCTGTTTGGTCCCCCCATAGGCTAGCATGGATGACAATGTCCAAAACACAAGCTTCTCCCTCGCCATGAAGTTGACCCCAACGATGAAAGATATGCCCGGAGTGGCGGCACCCATGCGCTGATCACTCAGGTTCAGCCTCAGTGACCAGATGGGCGGGTGGGCCGAAGATTCAAACAGGTTTAAAACCACGAGCGAAGCAAAAACCCTAAGCGTTAGAAACCTGTTCACTGCTTCAAGCCTAAAACATGCACGCAATACTATCAAGTGACCGATGCGGAAGAACGCTCGGCCATATTTTTGTGGTGTTGCTCAGAGGTGCAGGCTCTGGGATGCAGATACGTCAACATGCGTGTTCGACTTGTGCATACTGAATCCCTGCAGAGCCTGAGGATCTACCCCCACTTCTGTGCTCTGAGCAACTGAACCAGGACCCCTTCTTCCGCGCGGTTGCGATGCTCTGCGATGCTCTGGACGTCATGGTGCGTCGGCTGGATACAGAGTCAACACCGACTGATGCGGAGTCAAGTCCTGCAGCGTGAGGTTCACGCAGTCTTCGGGTCTGGACGCAAACGCATAAGGTTCCCTCTGCTAAGTTGGTCTGCCCAGAGGTTACAGTCGCCTGGCATGTGCGATACCATAACTGACCATTTGTGTTTGTTGGCCCATGCGGCCACAAGTTGCACGAAAACCTGCAAAGATCACAAAGTAGGGAACAGTGTGTCGACACCTGCTTCAAATGCTGAGGGGGCCTGTGGGAATACCTGTGAATACCCACACTGTGGTCCAAGCGATGCGCATGAGCGCTGGTTGCGCCGACATCTCGAAGCACGACACCTTTGAGTTTCTTTGGTGAGGAATGTCCTGTCCTGGGCCAGCTCAAGTCTCTGCAAACCAAGCCACGGCTCTTGGACTTGAGGAGCGGGTGAACGAAAGCTAGCAGTTGTTGCATGAGATGGGTCGGTGACAGAGTGGATTCATAGGTAGCTTGTGTACAACGAGAGGCCCGGCAAGATTCGTAGGATGCGACACGCAAACGCACATGGTGGCGTGGCAAACCTTGAAAAATGAAAACAACGAGAGGCGTCAGAAGCTGTCTTAAAGCACCTCTGGGTTCTGCATGCTGCCTGTGCAAAGATTCTTGCGAGGTGGTTTACCGAGAGAAGACTGAGGTCTCAAATGAACAAGCTGAATCGGTGGAACATGTAAAAGTTCGTAGCACCAAGTCCAAAACGGGCAAACCGAGACTGCTGAACACTGAGCCACTGCCTGGGGGGGGGGGGGGATGGACCAGGGAGGAATCGAGCCTGAGACCGGGGGGGGGGGGGCTAAATAATTGATGTTTTTCAATCTTTTCGGCTCAAATAATTGAAAAAATCAATCTTTCGGCATTTGAGCCCCTTACCTTGCTTACGGCCCTCGTAGAATAGGCATCGCGTGCAGATAGAGGCACTGCAAGAATAATCTAATCGGATTTCGCAATGCCGCCTGACCTTTGGCCAGTGCTGAGCGTCTGCGCATATGGTTAAGCAAAGCAAACCATGGGGCCGGCTCACTGGACGTGCTTATGTCACTGCCAAATGCTGCTCTCAGTGCTGCGTTGAAAATAGCTCGGCAGTGTTGTTGCAACCAATAGCCATGGTCATGCAAAGCAAGCAAGTCAAAGCGAAACTGGAAAAGCAAAGCAAAGCTGTTGAAAATGCAAGCTGGTCCAGTAAGCATGTATGCTGGCTGTTGCTTGAGCCAAAATGGCGTATGTTGTCAAGTTGAAACAACAGTGAGTAAACACACTGACCGTTCAAGGCCCTCGGATTAGAGGAAGCCAGAACGGCGTAGTCCGGAATGCTCAGCCGCCGTGGCCGCGCACACAATCTCGTCGCGAACGCTGTAGAGCAGCTCGCGTGACTGCTGGCTGACCCTCTCGTACAGCGCGGAGGTGCCTGCCGTCCTGCCACGCGCTGGGCCTGCGCAGGCCTTGCCTTGGCCTCCAGCGCATGTTGGTCCACAGCCGCGTCTGCTTCCTGTACGGAGTTCCGTACGCAGTAGGTCCCCAGGGCGCTTCAGCAGCCCGGTGGCCCATGAGCGGGTCAAAGTGCGCAATGATCTCAAGGGCGCTGAGCACCAGCGCGTCGCTTTCCAGGAGCCGTCGCGGGCGCGTTGTCAGCGCGCGGCTGTATTCCGTGCAGACCGGGCTGGCCCAGACCATGTCGAAGTGCCCCGGCGGAAACGTCGTGTAGTCCCAGCCCGCCGCCTCGAAGGCCCTGCCCACCGACTTAGTGCCGCAGAAAAGCTCCAGGAGTCTCGGCATTTTTAAAGAGCAAGATTACCGCCAGTGCGACGATGAAGACTGCACGTTCATCGGACCGGACTTTTTTCTCCGCGGGATAAAAAGCCGAACTTTGCAACCATGAAGCTTGCGCTCGGGCTGGACGTTCAGACCAATGCCAAGAGGGGGAAAATCATGTCCATAGAGGACTCCCCATCAGGGCGCGCTGGTGCGCAAGGTGTGCTGTGGGAGCCCGGCGACTTCCAGGACGACGCCAAGAGAGTTGGAGTGCGCTTTGCGAGCAACACCGACCTGGAGCTGTGGACGGAGGAGGTGGAGCAGGGCGTCATTGACAACATGATTGTCTTCCAGAAGCCCTTTCCGGGGCCGCCCGCGCCAAGGCGCGCCGTCAAGGTGAGCGCCAAGGGCAAGCACGTCAAGTGCAAGATTGACTCCTCTGCTCCGTCCCACTTCCGCCGCGGCCACAAAGACCCCCTTGGGTATCTTTCCGCCGGCCCCCATGAGGCGCAGCCCCGGCCACACCCTCATGCTCTGCGGGCTGTTTTGGAGTTTGGGTTGCTACCGATTTGTAACAACCCAAATCTATGTGGATGACTTGTGTCTCCGATTGCAGCTTTGAGGTTTGGGGCGCCAGGGCCCGGTTCGCCGCTGCGTTGACGGCCATGCGCTTGCTGTGGCTGATGAGCAGCGTGGTGTCCGGCCACCCGGACTTGGAGGGGTAGAGCTCCTTCAGCCTTGCCTTGGCCTGCTCCAGTGTGGGGGACCCGCAGCCGCTTCACAAAGTTGAAGATGCCGGAGTCGCGCCGCATGTTCCCCGTGAGCTTGCGCCGGCGCCCGCAGGCCAGGTCGCGGATTAGCTGCTGTGCTCCAACGGCGCGCTGATGGGCCGCCCAGGAGTCTAGCACGGCCGGCAGCTGTCGGAAGTCGCCCAGCAGCAGGAACTTCACGTCGGGGTTCAGTCCCACGCACGCCAGGTCCGCCCAGAGCGCCATGTCCAGCTGCGTGATCTCCTCCACAACCAGCCAGCCGCTGCGTCAGCAGGCAGTCCGTCTTCACCTGCGGGAGGTAGCGCGGCGGCGCGTTCAGGATGCGCCGGGCCTTGGCCACCATGCAGTGCTCAAAGCCAAGGGCCGCGTTGTGGGTGGGGCGCCCCCTTCGTAGGCGAAGGCCTCAGAGAAGTCCGCGTCCCCGCCATCCAGCTTGCTGCTGCTGCTGCGCACGCTGTAGACCACCTCCGCGCTGCGCGCCCACAGGCCTATCATCGCGTTCACGCTGAGCCTTGGCCATGCGCTCCTCGCCCTCGGACCAGGCCTCGTCCATCCGCTCCAGCGCGCGCCGCTGCGTCGCCGCGCCGACATGGCTCCGCACGGAGATGCCCAACAAAATGTCGTTCCAGCGGCAGACGCCCAGGTCCAGCATTGCAGCCAACGAAACCTTTGGGTACCAGCCAAATGTCGCAGCAGCCCTCCACAAAGCCCAGGTCCGGCAGGACACAAGATCGGCAGGGAGAAGGGTTGCGCCAGCGCACCACGTCCACGCCGACCAGACCGGCTCTGGCCGTTAGGGGCCCCATCACCCTGAGACACCTGCGCTTCCGGCTGACAGACCTGGAAGGCCAAGTCGTTCGACTGCGGGGCTCGTCCTTGTCCTTCGTGCTGTTTTTGGATCACGTATAATTCCCCGAAGGTCTTTAAAAAATATATTTTCTTTTAAAAAACCGATGAAGCAAGCGCAACCGGTCCGGGTAGTAAAAACAAGCCCAAGCCGCCCGAGCTGCCCCTGCCGAAGAGCAAAAAAATGATCGCCGACCTGCCCACGGAGCCTGCCTACAAAATCGACTCCCCCTTCCGGCCCAAGAGGGTGAGATTTCCCACAAAGCCCAAGACGGCTCCCAAGGCTGCACCCAAGGCAGCACCCGTGGCCAAGGCAGCACCCAAGGCAGCACCCAAGGCACCGCCCAAGGCAGCACCCAAGGCACCGCCCAAGGCAGCACCCGTGTCCAAGGCAGCACCCAAGGCAGCACCCAAGGCAGCACCCAAGACAGCACCCAAGGCAGCGCCCAAGGCCCAAGGCAGTTGCCGCGCCAGCTCCCAAGCCCAAGGCAGCGCCCAAGCCCAAGGCAGCGTCCAAGGCTGAGCCACAGCTAGAGCCACAGTTAGAGCCCGAGGTACAGTCCGAGGTACAGCCCGAGGTACACAGCAAGGTACGGTCCGAGCGAGCGCGCCATGCGCATGCTGGAGAGGCAGTCGGCGTACGACCGGCTGACGGCGGGCGCAAGCGTACTGGTATGAAAAGCACGATGATGTCCCTAGAGCCTCGCAACGAGCCGCAGATGCTCCGGTGGTTACGACCAGCCGCTGTTGCTGAAGCGCCAGCGAGAGCTGGAGGAGGCGCGGGCCTTCAATAACTGGCTAGGGGAGCGCAGGCTGGCCCAAGAG